GTAGTTCCTTTAAGTATAAGTAGTTCAGTTTAACTATATTTTTGTAAGGGTGGAGGTTGGGAATTTCATATAGTAGAAATTTTAGGATGGTTGCATTTCTACTTTATGAACTTTAAGGATAACTGCCTTTCCACAACTGATGGCAGACAGTGAAAGGCAGTCCTTAATTGATTTTCCATGACAACTGGCTAGTTTATCACCAGTGTTTGGATATTGCCCAATAGATGGGATATCACCAATGCATTTGGGTGCTAATTCCATGGCATTATCCATTATGACATTAGTCAAACAACTAGGACTGACAATGACAATGCATATTTTATATTAAGTTCATTATTGTTTTATAGTGCTGATTTAATTGCCTATTAACAATTAATGTAATCAATAGTATTCAGCTATTTATTCATTTATATATATATATATATACTGGCTTTCCAGTATTATTAGTCTTATGTATCCTTTCAGGCTTGGGCTTGAACCAAACTGCAGATGCAAATTAGGTTCATCACACAATGCATCATGTGATCCATGAAGCACTATAATAGACAAACATAAGCACATTTGCAGTCAGTCTAACAGATATGAGGAAAGACAAAGGTATTGCAGCATCCAAAAGAGGCATGATAATTGGTGCACATCTATCAGGTGCTACAGTGACCAACATAGTTTTCGTTGGTAGGTTACTATAAAAACAGCAGTCATTCATATATATCAGCAATAACAAAAGGTTGATAATATGTTTGCTATAAGGGTAATTGTGGCCACAATAAAGTAATGACGGAAAGAGAAGAACTGTGGTTAAACAGAATGGTAAAGTCCAATCCAACTGCCATCAAATAACAGAGGCATTCAATGCAGCCCAAGATATATCCATCTCCATCTACAGTTTTCTCAGTTCCTGCAAAGTAATTGCGCAGCAGAAATTTTTCTTTTCATGCTAGATTCCAAGCAGTAAGGTAAGACATTAGTGAACTCAAAATTTCATTTTTTTTTAGACCCAAATACAGCTTAGTTATTAAACCTGATAAATTAT